AAAAAAAAAGTCTCATGGACTTTCCTGCCTGGGCTAGCTTTGAATCATGATCCTCAGATTTCAGCCGCCTGAGTAGCTAGGATTACAGGCATGAGCCACCAGTGCCTGGCACAGTTTTAACGTTTTTATAAAACATAATCATGGCTATATGCCATGGCTTATTAAAGCCATCCTGTCTAATAACAAAGAATCTAAAGACAAAATTAGCTTTTGTATTCTTTAAAATTTCCCTTCCACATGCAGAAACAACCAGCCAAAAGGTTCTCCCTTTACTTATAGCCATTGGAAGTATATGCACATATACATCTTTGAGAAATAAATGACTTTAATATCTTCCTTTGATGTACCCACATTCCTAATTAGGTGAGACTGAGAGTTATTTTATGCTTGTATTCACGATGGTCCAAAGAAAGGCTAAAAGCGGATGAGGCTTATTGATTGACTTAGGAAAATGAAGTGTAGGGGGGAGGCAAGTGACCCTCACCAGCATATTTAAACAGAATATACTTTTGTCTCAGGGCCTGTTGACGTGTAAAGGGAAGGGTCACAACAATAAAAAAATGCTAACATTTCCGATGTGTTTACATGGATACATAGAAACTGAATGTACAAGGAAATGAGTATTTTGTGTGTGTGTGTGTATGTGTGCTGGTCCTGGGGCTGGAACTCAGAGCTTGGGTCCTATCCTTGAGCTTTTGTGTTTAAGGTAAGCACTCTACCACTTGAGCTACAGCTCCACTTCTAGCTTTGGTGCTTAATTGGAGATTGAGAGTCTCAGACTTTCCTGCTCAAGCTGGCTTTGAACCACAATCCTCAGATCTCAGCCTTCTGAGTAGCTAGGATTACAGGCCTGAGCTATCAGCACTTGGCTATTTTATTTTAACTTCTCATTTTTGTTTTTGAGACGAGGTCTTGCTCAAGCTGGCCTAAACTGATTTTCCTGCCACATACAATCTCCCCAGTAAGCTGGGACTACAGACATATGCCACCAAACCCACCTGTCTTATTTATTTATTTTGTTGGTCATGAGGCTTGAACTTAGGCTCTGGGCATTATGCCTCAGCTTTTGCAAAAACTCAAGGCTAGTGCTCTACACTTTGAGCCATAGCACCACTTCTTGTTTTCTGTTGGTTAATTGGAGTTATACGATTTTCCTGCTTGGGCGGCTTCCAACCATGAACCTCAGATCTCAGTGTCTGGACTAGCCAGGATCACAGGCATGAGCCACCAGCACCTGGCTCACATGTTTTACTTTTAATAGAAAAAAAATCACTTAGTTGATTCATCAACTAACATGTAGATTCTCAGCTAATAAAAATGCCAGCAGTGCTCATATCAGCAGTACATATACTAAAATTGGAACCATAAAGAGGTTAGCAAGGATAACATGCAAATCCTGACAAGTTCTAGCTATAAAGAAATAATGTAACAAAACAAGCTAGCAGCTCAGTAGAGAAAATACATGTGTACTTGTGAAAAGAAAAAATAGGGGGAGGAGCCCTTACCTTTTTCTAGTTACTTAAGAATCCAGATTCAGAATTTCTGTCCTATAGTATATCTGAAGGTATGGAGAGAATGGTAGGTTGAGGGTTTTTCTGGATATAAGACACTGTTTCAGGCCAGTAGCTTCTTTAACCTTGGTCTTGGCATCCCTTCCTATTGTTCTTTGTATTACTATTTTCCCAGCTTCATTTCTAGCCTTCTCAAAATACAAGGATTTAAGGTTAAATTTAAGAGTTTAGTTCTATGACTTTTAGAGTTAATTTCTTTCTGTTTTCTAGAAAAAAATATGCCTAGCTTTAGCACATTTCATGATGTACAATTATGAAAAATTACTATTATTAAAACAAATATCATTACATAAATATTATTAGTAAGAATTAAATGGGATTACACATTTGATCTATAGAGATTATAAATTCAAATTATAGCTGTGTTGATTGGCAAAAGGAGGAAATTTAACTGAAATGAGTTACCAATCTGAGAATTGAATTTGTTTACAATCTGAAAATCTATATAAAAATCTATACTTCTAGACAGATGTTGGTGGATCACACCTGTAATCCTAGCTACTCAGGAGGCTGAGATCTGAAGATCATGGTTCCAAGCTAGCCTAGTCAGGTAACTCTGTAAGACACTTATCTCTAATTAACCACCAAAAAAAAAAAAAAAAAGCTAGAAATGGAGCTGTGACTCAACAGGTAGAGTGCCAGCCTTAAGCACAAAAGTTCAGGGGCAGCACCCAGGCAGAGTTCAAGTCCCAAGATCAGCATAAAAAAATCTATACTTTAAACTTTTCTTGAAAAAAATAAGTAATTGGGCAAAAGGGGGTTTGCATTTGGTGATAACAAAAAGGAGCTGGGGTTGAAAAACATCTGCTCCCTTGAAATAAGTCAAGAAATACAAAATTTGTCAGTCTTCATCAAGCCCTATTGATTTTCAATATGGCAGCAGGATACATACGGTCAACTTTTTACTTTATACTTCTGCCTGTTACTTGTCTGAATTATATGAGCACGTAAGTGTACAATGCTCATTTAAGTTTCCGTCATGTTTTTGGCTATATATACCAAATTCTTGAAGTGATAGATCACTAGTTCATCTACTTAGTATCCTAACAATTTTAATTCCATTCATCAGTTTTCAACATTACTTCCTTTATTAAAATAATGTAAATATGAAAAACGAAGGTAATGGAATCTCCTGACATGAATGTAGTATCTAGTACTACAAGCAGCAAGAATTATTGGTACTTTTATCAACTGTCTTCTTTTAATAAAAGTGATCTAAAAGAAGTGTGTGCACTGTATGCTTTTTTTCTGTATCCAGGTGCCTTGGCTGTACTTTTTTCCTTTCCTTGACTTACCTCATAAGCAGCACCTAGATCCTGGAATTTCTCTTGGGCTTGTGGGTCATCAGGGTTCCGGTCAGGGTGAAGCTGCAGGGCTAGTTTTCTGTAGGCCTTTTTGATATCCTTAATGGAAGCACTGCGAGGGACCCCCAAGATCTTATAGAAATCTCGTCTAGGAATGGGAAAAAGCCTCAATTAGAGTTGTACTTCACAGTTTTAAAAGTGAAAGGTAATTTCCCCCTTTTATATTTAAGTCTATGCCTGAGCAAAGAAATACAAAAATGGTGTATGTGACACATTCAAGCACATACCAAAAAAAAAAAGAAGACTAAAAAAGGGAACATACAGATTTTGTTTTATGTTGAAGAATTCACAGTAAGAGCATATATATTCCTTACACTGAGTTATTCTAAATAGTGTGGTATTCTTCTAGAATACCTTCAGCCAAGAAACCATTCCTGGGCCAGGGACATGACTCAAGTGGTAGAGTGCTTGCCTAACAAGCTCAAAGCCTTGAGTTTAAACCCTAAGTACTGTTAAAAAAAAATTCTTACTTTATGGTCACGTTATTTGTTACTTTCAAGCAATAACCACATAATCCACTCACACTCCCTCTTTTTTCTGTACTGGCTCCAAATGACTTTTGACTGTTTCCAAAGGTCAAGTAACAATCTCAAATGGTAATTTCCTTTATTCAAAAGGATTATGTCACATAAATGTCCTAAAAGTAGAACTTTTGGAATATTAAAGATGAAGTGATTGAAGTTAACTTCAGAGGTTAAAAATGAATGGTTAAGTGAAGTTCAAGCAATTACTGAAAGAGAGTAACATATGCTTGGATGAATGGATTGTGGTGGTGATTGTTTCTGAAAGAGAAGGGAAAGTATCAATCTTGCATTCACTTCCAGTAGACTAGTTTATCTAGATCAAGTTTTTACTATAGATAGCTTCTTAAACCCACATGCAGGAACTGGTCTGTCTCAGTAGCTATAAATATGCACAGGAACAAACTGGGAGACAAAGGTCCACTGACCCCCTTTGCCAGAGACAATGCTGGAATAAAACTAATCATAACGTGGATCTCTGCAAGAAATAGCAGTGGGAAAACAGAATAAGACTATAATAAAATTTCAGGACAGGGACCATATCTAACCATTGAAGAGAACAAATACTAAATGAAATTCACAAATAAGAACATTCATTAAAAAAAAAAAATCCCTGCTAGGAGGTGGTGTAATATACTCAGAAAGCAGAGATCTTAGGATCTCAGTTCAAAGCCAGCCTGAGCAGGAAAGTTTACGAGAATCTGATCTACAATTAACCAACAAAAAGCCATCGTAGAATTGTGGATAGACTGGCAGGGTGCCAGCCTCTATAAAAAAAAACTGAGGATATCTTTACCTGATTTAAGTAACTGTAACCCCTCTTTACATTACCTTTATAATAACAATAAAAAATTTAAAAAAAGAAAAAAACAAAAACTGAGGACAGGACCCAAGTTCTGTGTTCAAGCTCCAGTATCAACAATCTCCTCCCCCTCAATAAAACAAAACAAAAAAACAAAAAACAAAAAACTATTCCTTTGCCAGAGTAATTTTAGCTGTCTGATTTTTTTTCTGAAAATACTTTCAGAACTGAGAAATGGAAAGTTACACAATAGAGGCATTCATTTAGTAGCAATGGTAATTTAAAAATGCATTGGCTAGTGTTTGTTTTTGTTCTTTTTTTTTTTTTAGGGGGGACAAAGGAAGAAGGAAGGGTGAACACATGTTATCATGCCATTCAGTATTCATCCTGGAAAATAAACTATGTAACTTGTGGGCAAGGACAGGAGCGGGAAACTGGGGAAAAGCAAAGGATGGAGTGACATAGTCCAAAAAGGATTGTACTCATTACCTGACTTATGAAATGGTATCTCGTCTTTACAACACCTTGATAATAAAATTATACTTTTTAAAATGGACTGGGAAATATGCACTAAGGTACCAAGACTGAAGTGTTATATGGCAGAATATTTGAAAATCTATTTTATAAGCTTTTAGTCAGACTTTAGGAGAAAAAAATTGTTCAATTATTTCATGGATAAGGCTTAAAAATTATTTTAAAAATTCTGTAAAGTCTAGATATTCTTTAGATAGGAACTAAATAATAACAAACATACCAACTATGCAGAGTGAGGCTTAAGACGCAAAAGTAGCTAAGCAACAGCTCAGAAAAATATAGGAAAAAGATGGCTGGCATAGCTCATCATCACTGTTACTGTCCCCAAAGTACTCAATTATGAGTACTATGAAATCTAAAGCAACAGTATTAAATTTTTTTTGGGGGGGGGTCCGGTCCTGTGGCCTGAACTCTTGGCCTGGGTGCTGTCCCTCAGCTCTTCAGCTCAAGGCTAGCACTCTATCACTTGAGCCACAGCGCCACTTCCGGCTTTTTCTGCTTATGTGGTGCTGAGGAATCGAACCCAGGGCCTTAAGCATGGAAGGTGAGCGCTCTACCACTGAGCCAACTTCCCAGCCCCAGTATTAAAATATTTACATTGATGTTTATTAAATGCCTTAGAGTACTTGTGCTGAAAGTGTATTGCTACAAAACATAATAGGAAAGAGAAATTATCTAGAAGATGTTAACTATTTAGAAATTTATACGGAAAAAGGGACAACTTTAAGCTATTTGCAAAAGGCAAAAAAAATCCTTTCAAGTTCTTAACATTTTAAAATTATACCAGGAGAACCTTGCCTATTTAGAACCCATGAATTGTCAGAAACTGAGAACTGCTATTTCTTGTATCCAAAAGCACAAGCCTACCATATCCCATCCTAGGTGACCAGTATGATAAGATCATGAATTTAGGGGCTGGGAAGTTGGCTCAGTGGCAGAGTGCTTGCCTGCATGCATGAGGCCCTGGGTTTGATTCCTTAGCACTACATAAGCAGAAAAAGCCAGAAGTGGAGCTGTGGCTCAAGTGGTAGGGTGTTAGCCTTGAGCTGAAGAGCTGAGGGACAGCACCCAAGCCCAGAGTTCAGGCCCCATGACCTCCACCACAACCACCACCAATAACAAAAAAAAAAAGAACATTTTTAAAAATATATATATACATGGGCTGGGAAGGTGGCTCAGTGGTAGAGCGCTTGCCTTGCATGCCAGAGGCCCTGGGTTCGATTCCTCAGCACCACATAAGCAAAAAGAAAAAAGCCGGATGGCTCAAGTGGTAGAGTGCTAGCCTTGAGCTGAAGAGCTGAGGGACAGCGCCCAGGCCCAGAGTTCAGGCCCCACGACCGGACCCCCAAAAAAATATATATATATACATATACATATATATATGATCATGAATTTATAGTACCAGAATCCTCAAGAGTTGATTTGTTTCCCCTCCCCGAATAAAGGTGGCACAATATTATGCCCATATTAAGGATAGGAATTTATATGGGTCCTTCAAGGTTCCATGGGTCAATAAATGGGGTGGGAAGGTGGAGGCCAGAATCTTAGTTCACTACCTGTTGGTGTACTGCTCTTCTCAGTCCAACCATTCTGCTTTTCCAGAAAGTACCATGGAGAGAGACAGTGAGGCAGGACTACAGTTAGGGTCAACAGTACAAGGAACTGGTTAGGGGCTGGGAAGGTGGCTCGGTGGTAAAGCGCTTGCCTCGCATGCTTGAGGCCCTGGATTCGATTCCTCAGCACCCATAAGCAAAAAAACAAGCCGGAAGGTGGTAGAGCGCTAGCCTTGAGCTGAAGAGCTGAGGGGGCAGCGCCCAGGCTCAGAGTTCAGGCCCACGACCAGACCCAAAATAAAAACCAAAACAAGGAACTGGTTAACACATGGATTTTCTAACAGGTTACGTTGTTCCCTCAGTCCAATCTCTTAGTCCCAGCCTGGCTTCCCTACCGTTTTCCTCGTTTAATTTGACCCTATAACCCACCCATTTTAATGTTAGCCCCTCGATGGCTCGTCACAGGGTCAGGGATGCACTGTCCCTCTTCTCCAAGCTCCTCAGGACAGAGACCCACCTCCTTCAATCAAAAATGTGACCGTAGCCTCATCCTCGGCCTGGCACTGAGTTGCCCCCAACGTTCCTTCCCCAGAATTACGTGACACTCCTTCCGCTCACAACCACCTGCTTGTTCCTAAACTCCTTCCAAATGTCGTGTTTAGCACTCTTCTGGGTCTGAAGTGTCACACGCCGCCAGCCCAGTCCACACAACCCACTCTTCCGTTCTTTTCCACGCCCCTCAGTCCGGCCAAGCCGCGTCCCCAACCTCCCCCTCCCTCATCCACGACCGCCAGCCTCCTTCCCAGCGAAGACCTCCGGCGCCCTGCCCGCCGGTGCCTCCTCCTCACCCGGCGATCACGGCCCCAATGAGGTACAGCAGCAACAGGCAGAAGGTGCTCAGATTCTGCGGGGCCATGGTTCCTCTGCCGGCCGCGGTCCCGCACGCGCCTCACAGTTTCCTCCGCCGCCGCGTCGGCTCGCCAGCCCACCCGGCCCAAAGAGGCCGCCTCACGCCGGGGGTCTTCTTGGCCCGCAGAGACAGCTCGACTGCCCACTCCTCTGCCGGTCCACTTCCCGGGAGTCCCCGGTCCCCGTGAGAGAAGCCCCGAGCAAGCGAGGGCCAATTGCTGCTCCGGACATCACACGCGGCCGGCACCGGGGAGCCAATCAGCGCGGTACACTTCACCTCCTAGGCGGCGCAGGCAGCCAGTAAGGCTGCCGAACTGTAGCCACAGCTTCTGACCAATGAGAAAAGGAGACGTCAGAAAATAGCGCCGCCGCAGAAAGCCTCTCAACCGCGGCTCCAGCCAAGTCCCAGAAAACTACGTAAAACGTAGAGGGGAGCGCCAAGCGCGGGAAAGACGCACCAAGCCCCACCTCTTTGCCCGCCCCTTTGGAATTGCCAACCAATAATAATACAGCTCTGCCAACACCAACCAATTGCAGGAGGGGAGTGTTGGTTACAAGCTTGGAAATTCAGTGATACGTTAGCGGGATGAGCGGGCTTGGGGATTCGTGGTCTCCATCTGGGGCGGGGAGGGGAGTGGCTCTTAACTCCGCGCTGAGAGAACGTCGGACGCTTTGCTTCAGAGATCTTGTGTTATAATACCTTAACATTCCTACAGGAAAATTTGTCTCGGTCTCATAGACAGGAAGCCTGATGTCTTAGACGCGATCATGGGACAGACCGACTTAAGTTCAGATTCGGCTTCCAGCACGTAGCGGTGAGACATCCCCGATCCCCAACACTCCGAGTCTTTTTTTTTAAACAAAACTTAGGTAAAGCATCTACTGGCAGTGCCATGCATTTTTAATGGAGAAAGTTCTGGAAGTTGTCCGTCACGGTGGCACACAGTAAACTCAAATTGTTGCTACAGCTACGAGAACTTTCAATCTCCCTCTTTTCCCAGTTTTGTTCACAGTAGTTAACGCTCCACCTAGTTATTTAGGCCAAAACTCTAGATCTCTTCCTGGATTGCATTCCTGCATAACCTATCCAAATCTTTACCTATGGATTACCATTTAAATCTCTCCACTATATGTTGGTCTCTGGGCCAAGTCGTGTCATCTCTTAACTGGCAAGGATATAACTGATCTCTGACTCTATTATTATTATTATTATTATTATTATTATTTTTCTCCCTTTCTTCCCTCCTTCCTTCCCTCCGTTCTTAATTTCTTTTTTTGTTTTTGCCGTACTGGGGATTGAATTCAAGACCTGGGCATTGCCCCTGAGCTTTTTCACTCAAGGCTGGCACTCTACCACGTGAGCTACTCCACTTCCGGCTTTTTCCTGGTTAGTTGGGAGATAAGAGTCTCACGAACTTTTCCTGCCCCGGCTGGCTTTGCACTGCAACCCTCAGATCTCAGCTACCTGATTACTGGTTTGAGACACTGGTGTCCGGCTCCATTTTAAATATCTTAATACATTTTAATATGCCCCCTTGCATGTTTTTTAAAAGAACATGTCAAATCATGTAACCGCGTGCATTAAAAGCCTCAAATAACTTTTCATTGCACACTTAAACTAAAATACCAAGACTATGTTGAGAGTTAAAATTACAAAGCCTTATCTATGTGCCCTTTTCCATTATACCCCTTACCATGTTTCAGATAATCCCTCTCTTTTTTGTGTACACCAAGATCCTTCTTGCCTGTTTCTTCTGCCTGAAATAGTCTTTGCACCAGAGCTTGGGTGATTTTTATCTAACTTGGACATCAGTTTAAATGTCACTGTGGAGAAGACTTTCTGATCAACCAGTCAAAATTAACCCCATTTGGAATCCTTATTCTCACATGGCTCCACACTGACAGGGAATGCCAGTTTCGTGAAAGTGTACATCTGGATTGTTGTTAGTAGCTGTTAGCCCAACGATCTCCCTTCTCATAGCTTAGCATGCTCCTTCCCCTCGCCACAGCTTAGCATGCTCCCTTCCTAGGCAACACTAGGCCCATTTAGTAAAGGCAGTAAATAATCAGCCTCCAACCCTCCTTTGCCTTGAGATGGCACTCGTCTGGAGCAGCAAGAGCTCCTTAGAGTGACCTTAAGTTTTGGGCAGCGTCAGGGCCCCTTATCTATTACTTGGGCAGCAGCCATAAATCCTAGTCTGCCATGATGAAGCCCCTGGTGCTCTAACTCACATCAGGGTCTCCACCTCCTAGCCCATTCTAGCCCTTCCTAGCCTCAGTAGGTTATATAGGTCACCTCAGACAATAGCCGGCGCTTCTTCTCACTCCTCTCTTGTGGGAAGGGGTCTTGCTGGTCCCTTTACCGGCAGTAAACCTTTTCTTTATTCTTTGTAGCTGGATGTCTGCATGGTTTTCTGGCAAAATCTAATTTACTCTAACAGTAGCTGTATAGAACAGCACCTTAGAACAGTACCTGGAATCATGTTCAAATATTGTTGAGCAGAGGCTTCTTTGGAAGTGATCTTCATGTACCAGATTTCTTATTCATCAGGCACCAGCTCAAATTTAACGTTTAAAATGCCTTTACTGACCCCATTTCTTCTTCATTAGTATTACTGTCTGAAGTTATCCTATTTCTTAATATGTATTTATTGTTTCTATTAAATTATACACGCCAAGAAAGCAAGGACTTTATCTCTTTTGTTCATGCCTGTAAACTTTAATGCCTACCTAGCACTATACTAGACAAGTCATGGTACTCTAGTAGTAACTGCTGTTGTTGGAAACCAAAACATAGGCTGTGTGTGTGTGTGTGTGTGTAGGGTGACTCACATTTGCTAAACATGTAGTAACTGCTGTTGTTGGAAACCAAAACATTGTGTGTGTGTGTGTGTGTGTGTGTGTGTGTGTGTGTGTGTGTGTGTGTGTGTGTAGGGTGACTCACATTTGCTAAACATGCCCCTGGCTTCAATCCCTATCACTTCATGAACAGACAGATAAAGGTCACTGAGCTAGTATGTGATGCAGGGTAGATCCTAACCTAGGTCTGTTTACACATGAAGTCACTGTTGCCAGAAAGATGCTTTAATAGAGGAGGCGACTTCTCTCAAAGGAGCTGTTGCATTTTAGGCTCTACTTTACTTTTCTACACCTAGTGATGGCTTTAAAGAATTTAAGCAAGCAGAAACGTTTGGAGATCAAGGAATGGAAGTTTAAAGGCAGGAGTGGTATGTTTTGGATGGAATAATACAATTTTTAAAAGCTACCTGAAGACTGTAACCAGGGTTAGAAAGCTAACAGAGTTAAAGAACTAATGCTGGAAGGACAAGGCCTGGCAGATGTCAGTCCATCCTCCATGTTTGAATTTTGCTTCAGTTTCTTGCTGGGTAACTAACTTAGTAACTACGTTCACTTTTCCATACCTAGTTTCCTTATTAAAAACACGAAATGTTTTTAGTAAAATATTAAATGTGTTCAACTTAAAAAAGCTCTTGAGAAGGCCAAGGTAATACAATAATCAAGGTCCTTTACCCGGTGCCCAGATTGTAGTAAGCGATCCAGAAATGAAAATTGACATCATTATTACTGCGGATCAAAGCGTGCTAATCTTACCAGCAGGTAAGGGCTGCACAGTTCTGTGGAGCAATTAAAAAAAAAAAAAAAAGGCCTACTCCACTGTGTTGAAAGGCAGGGCACCAGCAACGGCGGGTCTGGCTGGGGTTCTCAGCATTCAGGACTCTGTTCCTCCACCAAGTTTATCCGAGACGTTGGAGCAGCAGCAACCTGCCGCTCTAGCAACACGGTCCTCCAGTCCTCTATAGTGCGTGAGGTTTGCGCCTGCGCCAGGAGCGGCGGCTTTAGCGGGAGGGCGGGGCGGACCGGGCCGGGCTGGCGAGGCGCGCGGCTCTTGAGGCGCCGGGGCTGTGGGGCGGCGGCGGCGGCGGCGGCGGCGTTGGCTTTCTCAGGTAACCGTGTGGGGCGGATGCTCTGGAGGTCCGGGTGGGCCGCTCAGGCTTCAGGTGAGGACCGAGGAGGCTGCGTGGGGGCCGGCTGGGTCACAGTCAGAGGCGCTATCCACTCGCTCTCCGACCCTGGGGCGTGGGGTTCCCGAGGTCCGGCGCCTGGGACCCCGGTGGAGATGGCGTCGAGGTGGGGGTCCCCTCGGCCCACCCCCAGCGCCCTCCCGAGGAGGAGCCGCGTTCATTCTGCAGCGCGGTTCCTGTCCCCTGGGGATCTGCTTTGGACTCGCGTTTCCAGGGTCTTGCCTGGCTCGGACCTGACCAGCAAACCACTTCGGTTCGTGGTCTTGGCTGAACCCAGATCGCCCAGCCCTTCACGGACTGGAAAGCAGCGGTCATTTACCCATCAGCTCCCGACCTTCCCGCCTCCCTTCCCCGGGGCCCTTGAATGGCCTCGTGTTCAAAGTTTTTCAGTCTCGTGTGGACCCGCTCCTTTTTCAGAAATCCTTCCCATACGGTTCACAGCTGGATCAGAATCTTCAGATGGAGCTGTGCTAGCAAAGTCTATGAGTGAGTCCCTTAGGTGAGTCCCTTCACTTCGCTAAACCTCTTTCTTTTTTGTTTTCTTATCTGAAAATAGGGGAAATAAATCAGGTGGTTGTGCGTATAGAAGAATATTTAATGTGTTGCCTGGCACATTTAGTAAACACTCGATGCCAATTATTTGAAGTTTTTTTTTTAAAACACAGCTTTTTACCAACGAATGCAAAATATAATAAAGCATTTCTTCATGAGTCATAAGGAAAGATTTTTTTCAAGTGATGTTAAGCTGAAGTTAAGTGCTCATGAAGTGGGTGTCTGGATCAAATGATGATGCTATTTTGACAGTTATTTTGAAAAGCAATGGGAATGTGTGTCTGTCAGGAGCTTCAGAAATGTTAGTTGCTTCATTTCACCAATGCACATCTGAAAGTGGCTGGGAAGATGATCTATAATGTATAAAATATCCTAAAAGATGGCAATCAAGTTACAATATATAGAAGTGAAAACATTTGGACTTTTTTTTTTGGTTTCTTTTTTTTTGGGGGGGGGGGTCCGGTTGTGGGGCCTGAACTCTGGGCATGGGCACTGTCCCTCAGCTTTTGAGCTCAAGGCTCCCACTCTACCACTTGAGCCGCAGCGACACTTCCGGCTTTTTTTTCTTTTTGCTTATGTGGTGCTGGGGAATCGAACCCAGGGCCTCATGCATGCAAGACAAGCGCTCTACCA